CCCCCCCCCCCCGTGCCCACAGCCACGGCGAAAGCCCACGATGGCGGCAGCATAACCACCTGATCACCGTGCTCGTTTCGTGCCCCGAGCAAAAATTCATTCCATGCTTTTGATCCAACTTCCTCCTCTTCCCCTCGCCCCCGCCTGGTCCAACCTCCGCCGTTCCTCCTACCTGGAACAACAGAATGCCGAAGCAGGCGCGGCCGTAGCGAGTCCCTAGGTCGTCGCGATCCCTCAGCAATTGAAGGACGAAAGCGCTGCTGGACAGCGCGACCCCGCCCCCGATCACCACCATCTGCGCCCCCGTGAGTCCCGCGAGGTAGCAGGCGCCCGCGACGGCAGCAGCGGACATGCCGAAGGTCGCCAGGCCCAGCCCGAATACGTCGCGCTTCATGGCCATGAGGCGAGTGACGCTCAGCTCGAGGCCCATCTCGAACAGGAAGAAAACGATGCCCATCTCTCCGAGCACCTGTGCAATGTAGTGGTCATCATTTCTTGTAAGGCGACCCTGCTGCTGTTGCTCTGCCTCTACAGCAGTTGTATTAATATTTAGTATATACGTGCCACCATTTAACAACCGGGGACCTCAAAAATTCAAGGTAAGGAAAAACACGAGACAAATTGCAGGGCTAAACCATAAGCGCAGGTGCTCAGCTAAGAACGCCACCCTACACATATACATACAGCAGTTGATGTCGGGTTACGTCCAAAGAGAACGCAAGAAACGAGCGCCATGCAAATTGGGATTCGTTGCCACAACACGAACCGGAAAGAGTGAACACACCGCCTCTCCAGAAAGCGTCACCTATAGAAATTCGACACACATGGCAAGGCGGTACAGCGTGGTGTGTGCGGGCGGGCAAGGCACAAGGAGCCCAGCACGACACCGCCATTGCGGTACGGTAAATTTCCGCGTCCACGGGTGCGGCCGCACCTACCAAGAGAGAGAAACACATGCACACACACACACACACTGACGTATTTTCATTGTCAGCCGGTTAGCGCGGTCGATGCTAATAATAAAAACACACACACACAAGAATTGTGCAGCTTTCTCCTGTTGCTATCGTTTCTGTCGTTGATCCGGAGTATAGATTGGTCTCCCCCCATGCCGCCCCCTCACGGGGTTCCAGTGAATGGCATTTAGGAGTGTTTCGTGTTTTCAACCGTACCGAGACTGACATCCTTTCATTTGTCAGCTTTTCAGCGCGGTCGATGCTAAAATTAAAAAAAACACACACACAAAAGCACGCACTTCGATAGCCTTCACGTCGGACACGATGCTCAGGCAGTTCGGCCCCAGCGCCACGCCGGCGGCCAGGAACCCGAGGACCGGCGACAGGCCGACGCGCTTGCAGACCGGGATGATGAGCGCGTTGGCCATGAGGATCACCAACACGTCCCTTTTCGCGCCCTGCGGTGTGCCCAGAAAGGGTGTTATGTATCTTGATTGAGCCATTTTTTCGCCGTGACAAGTATTGGTACACATCACTAGAGTGTAGGCATCGCCGTGTGTGTGCGGTCTTTGCGTTTGGGTTGCGCCGGAGTAGCGTGGAGTCAAGCAGGATACCAGTCGTGAAGGACAGAAAAGGGTGAGACACACAGACGTGGCAATGCGAAAACCAAGAAAAGGAAAACATCCAAAGAGAAAGAAACACGAGACCAGCCAGCGACAAACACACTGCCACCACCGAGAACCCCAGCAAACAGAAGCAGCGAGAGGAGGGTATCCAGCACACCTGTATGTGCCCCCCAAAATCTTGCGCGATCTCGCGGCCGTTCTCCCCGGCCTTGGACGCCATCGAGCGCAGCGCCTCCTTCGTGCCGTCGTTCTCCACAGCCTTACCCCTCTTCTTCCCCCCCGCCCTCCTGGAGGGTGCCCTGACCGCCGCCGCCGACAGCCCCCCCTTCGACGACGATCGAGCGCCTTGCGCGCCTCCTCCTCCTCTATCTCCCTCCTCCTTTCCCCACGGCCCGACAAACGCCGCTCTCGACGCCGCCGTCCGCCCCGCCCCGCCGCTTGCCCCCCCCTGGTGTTGTTGGTGCTGCTCCCGAACCCCCGTTGCCCCACCCGTCACCGATACTGGCGTTGCTTGTTCGGCAGCAGCGGCATTTTCGGAGAAGGGGAGGACGAGCTCGACGGCCGGGTGCGCACTGCCGGCGCCGCCCGCAGCCAAGCCTCCCTCCGTACCCCCGGGCGAAATTCGCGGGGCGCTGAGAGAGGGGAAGGCGAGCGTGAACGCCAGCGCTACGGTAAGCGCGCGCTTGCTGGCAACACGCTTCGCTGCCCTCAGCCAGCACGACGTTAGGTAGGCCGCCCTCTGTGTTGCGAACGCCGGTCACATGGTGCGGTGGGGGGTCAAGGCGGGGCTGACGAGCGCGTGAAGGGGGTGCGACTAGACCACGTATCTGGAGAACAACGCAACGTCAAGGAGGCGTCGAGCCGGCCCGCACACCACTGCACCCCGCCCCCCGTCTGCTGCGATAAATCCTAGCGCGGCTCGGGTGTCAAAAGGATACTATGGTCACCTTTAACACTGAAATACGTGCGATAGGGACGTGACCCAGACAACGGCCGACTGACGACAATCATTAGCAGAGAGATCGATCATCATGAGCCGTAGACCACCGCTACTGCTATCCTTCCAAAAAAATTATAGCAGCACAATGTTTTTTCACCTCGAGCCTTGTGTCCCCTACAGCAGTCCCGCGGAAGAGCGCTCCCACTCTCGCACGAAACGCCTTGCGTCTCCTCCCGCGGCCCTCTCCGACTGCCTGCGCGTCCACCGATGAGGCAGAGCCCATGCGCATGTGCAACCTGCAGGGAAAAGGCCGGGGGAGAAGTCAACGCAAGCTTGATTGTAAGGCGGCAGCGGTTTTCAACGGCCGCAAGGGCAAGAGACACCGATTCGTGGTGGTACAACGAATATGCGCGTCAGGCTGAGGGAGAGATCGAGTTCCTGGAAAAGCAATGGTCCATCAGCGCACACAGCCATAATTAGAAGGTCGAATGCCTCTGCGGGACCATGCTTAAGGGTGCGGCATTGCAAGCAGTAGCCTCCGAAGCGGTTTTCGATGAAGTAAACATGTTGGATAAAGCATACAATCGGGGAAGATGGGTTGGTAGGGATAGGGTCAGGGACAGGGTCTGCGTACCCCTGTTCTATTTCCTCATAAACTTACTAACCCCTTTGGGTCCGGCGTTCTGATATGCATAGATCATTGATCGATCATTCGCATATGCTGGTATGTGGGCATGCCATGGAGTTGCCGCCCGGTGTCCCTTCACGGTAGGTGTTGGCAAGTCCATAGATATGCATGGATAAGTGTGTCTTTATCATTAGCATCGACCGAGGTCACCGGTGACCAATGAAAAGTCGTCAGTGCCGACGGGAAAATCAAGGTCCCTGGCAGGGTATGCATACCAAAATGCGGAAATGCACATCGCGCTAAATTCGAATGCCACAGTGCATCTTTCAAACTAAATATCCTTTCACAGAGACACGCATCATATCGTAGCCCCACATACATGCCCTCACCCAAATCTATGAAGCCACTGAAATGCAAACAGCGGAGTGTAGCAAAAGGGGTAATCAAGCCCAGCCAAGCCAGAATATCCTGGTGGCTGCATCTCCAAAAGTTGATACTCGTACACTCCCAAGATCCAGCAGGCATCGTGCCAGTAGCTCCACTACACAGCAGTAGTATAGACGAGTCCAACTAAGCAGCAATGTACACTACTATCATACCTCCACACATATTCCCGCCCGAACCAAGGGAGCCCTTCATGAGAAGGTAGGCGTGTGCTGTTGTGCTTGTGTGCTTGTGGGGAAAACACAGGAGTTCTGGTAATCCGGCAGGGCTCACAATAGGGGGGGGGGGGCAGAGAAGTACAGAATTTCAGATACCCGCTGTAGGTCTACCACCCCTCTCATAGATGATTTTCATACATCATCTTATCATACTGAAAATAGAGTAGTTTTGGGAGCTGGACAACTGATCATTTGAAGGCCTACAGGCTAATCTGCCCTGCCAACCGCACAGCGACCACTCATCAAACCTTCTAGGACCCTGTCGGTCACCACCACCCTGTCGCGGGCTGCCCTCATGGTCTATAGGTGGAGATAGCTGTTCCATATACACAAGTACTGCAGTCTCTATTACTGCACTTCTCTCTATTTTTGCACCGTCTCCCGCCTCTTTTCATTTTTTGGCCGAGAGTAAAAGAAAGTGCAGACCCAAACACTCGCGAAGGTGGTTCCACTATAAGTTGATACACTTCGAGGGCAGGAAGCCGTCCACACACACTCGATAGCGCCAAGACCGTGGTTCAAAGCCGAGAATTTCAAGCCCGAGGTAGTTGCACGGGGCTCGTGCGCGTTTCGAAGCTAAGATTCGTACAACATACCCATGTGTGCACGAATGCCCTGTACCCTGTTGGTGTCTTTTTTGTGAGGAGAGCAGAGCGGGTCACCCATAAGCCAGGTTCTGCTGCTACGACTGTTGCTGTATGTCCCTCTATCGCCAAGGACTTCGGTAGCGACACATGCATCTTACTGCCGCCTGGAAGAGACAAGGCAAACCCGTGAGGCTGTACATCTGGGAGTTGTGGGATTCGTTCCTCCATCAAAAAAAGCCTCCTAGGCAACCAACGCCAAAGAGCAGATAACATTCGTAGTTGTAGTTTCTCAGATAGGATATTTCATGGGGTCACTACAACTAGGCGATCGATAGCTGCCCATGCGGATGATGGCGAGGTGCAGCGTGAGACGCGTACAGTGAACGACAAACGTATCGTAGCAGAGGGGCCTGAACGTCTGAACAACGAGATGCGCCGTAACCAGACGTGAAACTTAAACTTGTTCACGGTCTCTCGCCTTTGTGTTTGTGGTATGCAACCCCTACACACTGCTGTAAATACGTCGATCATCCGCGAATCTGCAGTAGGCAATCATCACGCTTGTGGCCATCAAGCGTGCGCCACTTCGTAACCCTTCCAGTGCTCTAGTCCGTTGGCGGATACCGCCGCCATATGAAAAGCGAAAAGGTAGTGCAAATACTACTGCTGCCTGCCACACTTGGGCACTCCACATTTCGCGTGTATTTTTCTTCTCTACCATCATTGGACTCTGTCGTCTGCCCCTCTGGCCCCTATCCTCCACTTCTGCTGGCTAGGCGACCCAACCGGGGTCACACAGGACGGGGGGGTTGGACCCCCTCCTGCGGTTCCTGCCTGAGAATTTTTATCGCGAGAAGGGTACAGCAATCCCTTCCCTCGCGACTTATGAAGTCGATTATGGTTTACTAGCAACGAGCTTTGCAGCGCGTCGCTTTCATCCTAGACCATGATTTATTTAGTGAGAAACAACTCATTCTGCCGGGACTCGAACCCATGACCTGGTCCTTCGCAAGCTGCGAGGGTACCCCCTAGACCACCGGGGCCCTATGTACATGCGTGCATTGAATCCTGCAACACGCACACAGCCCACCCTCTTCTTTCCGATGCATGCAGCGTTCTACACCTAGGGTCACCATCGCCCCCCAGTGAGGAGGGAAACAATATATCGTTCCGTCGCGGGTACATGTAAGGCACAACAGAAGGGCAGACACACGAACACAAGCAGACCGTTGTTGTTGAACACTCTCCTATAAGACATTAGAGCGCCAAACATAAGGGATGAGATATATCACTTGGCCACTGCAAAGGTTGCCGCTACTGCTCCTGCTACTCTTCCTGAGGCGAGTGATGGGGCGGCGGTAGACCCAGCAGCACGCCCGACGTCCGACCATTGGCAACACAAGCACCCACCCACATACCTTCGCCCAGTTCCAGTATCCCTGCCGCTGCTGCTGCTGTGCTTGGCCGTTGTTTCAGCCAACCGAAAACGATGACTCGTCACTCCCGGCTTGCCCAATGGATTGCTCTTTCCAAGCGCCGACAGCCGTGCAACTTGAGCCTTCGGGCTCACGAAAGCAACCGCCACCGGTGTTGCACAATAGAGCACCGCCCACACGAGCATGGCAAAGCCTCGGGCGGGGTGGCTGCGTCGCCGCCGTGCAAGCAGCTCGTCGCGACTTGGGGCCAGCTCGAAATTTGTTGCACTCATGTTTGATGATGCCGCCGCTGCCGGCTGCTGCTCGTCGAAAGCGGCAGACGAAAACGGTCTGACGGCAAGTAGAATACGACCTTACCCGTTGATGCACGTTGTGAACTCCCCCCCCCGTGTATGCGTTTTCTTAGAGTGCAACTCTCTATCTCTCCCTCGCTCTCGGCGTGTGCTCGTGCAGCACGCTTCTTCGTGCTTGCTTTACCTACGGTTGGGGGCGCACACGAAAGATATTTGTTGGGGGGAGTATCTTTGGCATCATCTGCGTCCCCCCAGCCCATGGATGAATCTGCTTGGCTTGGCGACCAGAACCAGAGCAGCAACTCAACGTTGAGGTTTTCTGCGTTCTGCCGTCCAGCCAGCAGGAGCAGCCAGCAGGCCGACAATGAAAGTATCCCGTGTCTCGGCGCTCCTACCCCTGCTACTTTCTTTCTTCCAGCATACACATGCATGGACCGTACCTCTGCCGCTCTCTGGCGGACTCATCGCCCCCTGTCAGCAGAGCTTCGTGAGTCACTTCCTTCCTTCTTGCCCCAACTTAGCAGGCTGTGGATGCTGCTGCGGCTGGTAGCCGGGTTGTGGCTGATAGTTTTGTGTGAGGCTTGCGGTAATCTCGCCAAGGGGGTTGTTTTCGTTTTCGGCCTTAGGCGGGGGTGAGGGAGGTGTCTGTTGCGGTTGCACTTAAACAAAAACAGTGGTCATTATAGAGCCGCCCGGACACATGCAACATGCACCAACCGGCATCCTACTTATCCGCCCACCCATCATTGCCACGACAGCGGTCCTCCGCCGCATGCAGTCCTTCTGCGTCTGCTTAGAATTCTGGTAGGTGGGTGTGCCGGTGTTTGTCGGCGGGCACTGACCGCTGTTGCGGATAGGCACGATTTGACCCACGCATGCATATATATTTGAACAACGGAATATATATACTTATGCCGTGTTGAATATAGGTACGCTCGCGGGTACATAGATACAGAAGTGTCAAGTCATTTTTTTCACTTCAATTTGTGGATTCGCGCGCAAGCTGCCGGCGACGTAGCATCATTGTCCTACTATTCTTGCGGTGAAAACAGTCACGGTTGGTTCAGTTGGTGTCGTGCGCACCAAACATTGTCAGGCCTACCGTCGTCTCGCACTTGCGTACTGACCATCAATGGTTCGCGTCAAATGCAAGGTTCTGCGCTGCCCTCGTCGTGCAATGTAGACGGGGCGCCAGAATATATTAACACGCACACACAAACAAGTTTCAACCGCGCGTTTTCGGGGGCCATATGCATTTTTCAGGCTGCAACGCCGGTGACTCCGGCTGTAACAGCAACAACCACCGCCAGGAGAAGCCACGACGGGAGAGACACAAGGCGCCAGGTCCCCACCTGCAGGCTGGACCGACTGCCGGTGCGAACCCTCAAGCGCGTCGTGCCGTTGCGACCGACGCCGGAGAAATACCTCGCGCACTTCGGGCAGACGCCGCTCGACCGGAGGCGCAAGATGGTCAACTTCCTCGGCGGCCTGTTCGCCTTCTACTGGGCGGCGTTCTTTGCGACTCGGAACGTCTACGTTCTCGGCCCGGGCGGCATCAACGCTATCGCCTGGCGAGGTGTGTGAGACAGGCCGGCTTCATACCTCGTGGGCACTTGCGCGCACGTAGTTGGTGTCCATCGCGTGGGACTCTCGGGAAGAAAAACATGTCTGTGATTTCTCACGAGTACGGGTCTTATTGTCTCTCCATTCGCGTATGAGTTGATGTCCTTCGTGGGGCTCTCAGAAAGCAGGCACTTCTGTGATTTGTCACGAGTTTTGTACGGGTCGCTTCTCTCCCCATACACAAGGCTCGCGCGCGTTTCGGCAGCAGCAGCCGCCGCAACTTGCGGCGCTTGATGCACGGTTCGTTCTCTCTCATGAGGTTGTGACGTCGTGTTTATGACGCCTCACTGAATGTGGTCGAGCCTTTGTCGGCAACCGCACTGGCGCCCCCTTCAGCCTACAGACGGTTCACCCAAGTAGCCATCGTCGCTGCTTGCTGCTGCTGCTGCTGCTACAATAGGTTCCTGTCTGGCGGTGTTCCTGCAGACCTTCTTGAGACCTGTGGTGGGGTCGTACAACCGCGCCCTTGAGCTGTGGGGATCCGGGAGCAGGGAAGAGAGGAGAAAGACCAAGGGAGCCCTGTTCACCGGAAGGTGCGTCTTGGTCTTGGAAGGTACAGCAGTATCTACGCCGATTGGGTACAATTTCACGACCATGACCCTCTGTGTCCCCCATGCTACAACGTAGAGCCATGGAGTACAGCTGATCCCCCGGGCGAAAGGCGGGGTAGTTGCACAGCTACGGTTTCAGCAACAAGCCGTGTAGACTGACCTCCAAAAGTTGAAACTTTTCAGTGCAGCGTTGTTTCACTCCGTTATGGACACACGATTGGTCTCCCCATGTGCTGAGAAACATCGGGCGTGTCTATTTAGGCTTGTCTACCGTTAATTCCAAGAATGGTGACGTAGCCAGTGGCTGATGACAGACTCCCAGCGCGTGTTTTTCCACGACTGGCATAAATCATGTATACTTGAAGTATCGTGTATTTCCCCTGCTGAAATTCAGATTCCAGGGAGTGCTCGTCGACAGAGCCAGCGGTGGCACAGGCAATATGACGGTTTTGCTGGGTCCTTGGATATCCTGGTCTTCATTTCACCACCTATCCACTTCACACCCATCACCACCGCCGCCGCCGCCGCCGCCGCCGCCGCCGCTGCTGCCGAGCGCCCCTACCTCGCCTGACGCTGAATATGTGGCACCGTGTTTGCTACCCGTTTCTTGCTACCATGTCGTGGAACGAAAGAGCCCTTTTGTGAAAACAAAACAACACAACCGTCTTCCCTGGAACGAAATCCGCCCCCGCACAGGGTGACCAAGACGGGGTTTGCGCTGTCGTCCCAGGCGTCGAACCACAGGGCCCACTTCCAAATGCTAGTGGAGGACGAGAGCGGAAGAGAGCTCTTGTTCGACGTCCCGCAGGTGGGGAAGTAGGTGGTAGATCATGGCCTCGTGATAGCTTTTCGTAAACGGTCTGGGACGTGTGAACCATTTTTTTTTTGGTGGCGGGGAGCGGAGGCTGAGCGTCTCGGCCGATGGTCGTCATCGATGCTTCGCTAATGTAATGAGGCTAAAACACCCGCATGCTACCGGTATCCGCGTGCACGTTCCACAACCATTAGCAGGCACGCCATCGTCAAGTGTCGTTGTGCTCACATATGCACGCGTTCGCGTGCGATGTACAGGTGCCGGAGTACCGCCGAATCCGAAAGGGCATGAGCTGCGCGGTGGTGGTCCTAAGCCGATCGTCCGGCTTCTACGAGCTGACGGGTGTGACGGAGGCCTACCTTCCAGAGCTGGATCTGTTCGTCGGACGGTTCCCGCTCCTCGACAAGCGGTGAGACTTAGACTTTCCTTCTTCTCAACCCAATTTTTGTCGCGCGCGTTGCGCATCGCTTGACTCTTCTTCTCAACTGCTGTTGTACCTTATCTTCGCTTCTTTCGATGGGTGATGTCTTTTTGCGATTTTTAAATTGCGTCAAGAATGTGTGCGAGTACGGGACGCTTTCGTGCCAAATTGCGCCCCCGCGGTACATCATATACGCAACGCCCTTATCCTTTACTCCCCCCACCCCCTCATCCCGTTGCCTTCCGCAATGCATGCGTTCGCTGCTGAACCGCCTCTCACGGCGCCAACCGTAGCGTTTTCTGGGACTTGCTGCACGATAAGAACGCGCGAAAAAGGCGGAGGGGCGGGGGTACGGTGGCTGCTAACGGAAAGCAGAACAGGTTGAGCAGCAGCGGCGGAGGGCGGCAACTAAACAGCAGCAGCAGCAGCAGCAGCAGCAGCAGCGGGGGACGCAGCAGGGGGGGACACAGTAGAAGCGGCGGCGACGGCGGCTATGCAAACGATCTCGAAAACAGCAGCTACCGCACCGGGCAACAGCAGCAACAGCGGCACCCAACGCGAGACGTGACGTCAAACAGCGGCAGCAGCAGCAGCAACGGTCGCGACGACGGGGGCAGGATGGTGGCCAGGAGCCCTAGGCCGAGGAACTACCAATGACGTTCTCGCGATAACCAATATACGTCCACCGGAAGTAAACAACGCAACAATCGGGCAGTACCTCCATCAGCCAGGAATGCCGAGGGTGCCGTACCGCAGAGGCGGATTATTCGCGAAAGGAGACCCTCACAGGAGGACCAAAGTACTCCCCGCTTGCTGTCCTGGACGCTTATGGCAGCGACATAGCATGGCAACATCGGGGTAGCAGGAGGGAATCCACCGCTCACGGCAGCGCGCGCTAGTTTAGCTCCGCAGTACCAGGAGCGCGAGGAGAGTGAACCCTTGGTTTCATTCGCGAAGGAATTTTTTTTGTCTGGCCGCCGCCGCCGCCGCCGCCGCCACACCTCCGCGTCTAAGAGGAGGAGGATCAGCGGCCGGGATTCGAGTTCGAGGCTAACAACGGAAAGCTTCGCTACGTGAGAACCTGGAAGTCAAAAAAGGTCTTCGGGCTGAGTAAGACGAAAATTACTCGAACCCCACCACCGCCCCACACCAGGAGCTGCGCAGTCGGTGCGGCATCACCCCCGCAGAGAAAGTAAGGACAAGTGTTGTTGAGCAAAATTTGGGGGAGTCGCACGTGTTGCCGCGATGTGAAGTGGCGGTGAACCTTACTTGGTTTTTCACGTTGGAAATGCAAGGCTCAAGGGGCAGTATTCGAAGTCAGAACCGACAGCTGAGATTGGGGAAAAAGAAGGTCGGTTAATGTTAGCAGCAGCGCGGTTTGAGTTTCGCGGCTGCTGGTTTGAGGCGTGTTGCGAGTTGCTTGTTGTGCTTGTGACTATACGTTTTTCTGTGTGGAGTGTATCCCGTCGTTTGGTTCCTCTGTCCGTGTGTTGTTTTCTTCTTGCGGGCTTTCGTCTGTTCTCCACCCTGTTGTGTTTTGTTTTTTGTATCGTTTATTGTTTCTAGGAACTAGTTTTGCTTGGAAGAGTGGTTGGATTTGCTCTCCTGTATACGAATGTACCATATTTATTTTACTCAGCACATAGAAGTAGTGACACTTTTGGGGGTTAAGGGTCGTGACAACCGAGATTCGTTCATTTCTTGAAAGGAACTCAGTAGGGGCAAGAAAGGTCTTATCTACGATTTGGGCATGGCCCAAAGGGCTTTGGGACAACTTCTTCCGGAATCTTTCCTTAAGGTGTCGGCGTGAGGGCAAAGATTGTGTGGTTTGCACTCTGCTGTGTGTGCTGCAGCGAATGCCAGCGAGTTGGAATTGCATATTGTGTGTTTTGGCCTTTTTTTTTTCTGCGTGCCCACCAAATCGTCCATGACTGTATTTGGCGGCCGGCACCATAAGAAAGTAACAACCACCAGGGCTATGCCGAGGAACACCAGATAAAGTTAAAGTTATGAAATCATGACCAAGCCGACCATGGTATAATGCGTACTGCAAGGCGTACACTTGGCGCTCCGAAAAGATGGGACGAGAAAAACGGAAACGGCGCAGCATGCTCCGCCCTTCAGAAAAATCCAGAATAATGGGAAACGGACTTGAGGGCAACCCACGAGGGAGGATGCGAAACGATTGGATCGATCATGGCGCGGGCTGCAGACTCGCAACGTGGAGTTGGCACGACGAGTTGTAGAGGATGTGTCCAAGATTTGAACGACGAGCTCATGTGTCAAGGTTTGAACGATAAGCGAAAAGGGAAGTATCTACTCAGTCAGAGGTGATCGAGGCCACCACCATGAGAGACGTACCCCCTCCTAGGTGTGAGTGAGCGTGAGGAAGGCGACTTCTTGTCGCCACGTTTGGTCTCGTGTCGACTGCTGTGCCGGCATCAAGAGACCTCGGACAAACTGACTAATTCTTCCCCTGCGATGGAAGTACAAACCGCAGCGAGCACAGGGCATTCGGTGTGTATGTACACGCACATATGTCGCTCGCAACTTAGCTCGTCTTTCCGGCGAGCACGCACACAAAAAACGACGCACGTCCCCTTCCTTTCAAGAGCGCAAACCAAACTGGAGCTTTCGTTCGTGGTGGCAATTTCCACGTCGACTTCACGATATCATGCTCCAGTCGCGAAGCCCACACCCACAAGACATGCGATGCTGGCGAACTCCTTCCACTTCTTCCGACATGAAAATGCGCCACGGAGACACTGCGCCGGGCGAGACCGAAGTCAGACGCATGTAGTGGAGACTCATGACGCTGGTAGCCTAGATAACCAAGAACGCCTAATCAACAGCACGCCATTTTTAAACACACTGCTGTCTCTCTCTTCATGGCTACCCTAGCAACACGAGTCTGTCTGAGGCCGATTGTTGGTAGGCGCGGGGAAAGAGACAGA